ACACTGTTTACAGGAGTAGGATCCATCTCAATGCCATGCTAGCGATGATTATCCTGCATGCTATTGAGAAGTAGTTTGAACAGCTTGAGATTCAGTGGCAATTCTCCCCATATAATCATCAGAGAAACTCAGCATGTTGCATTTCTTTTGCCAAAGGGGTGAACAAATAAACATCTCAAACTTCCAGAGAATTCAGTTTATAATTCAAAAGCTATTAAAAATTTTTCCAGCTTTATTGAGGTACCACTTACAAATTAAAAGATTATACATATTTCAGTTATACAATGTGGTATTTCAATCAAAGTGTACCTTGTTCAATGATTCTCACAAGGTAATTGATATATCCATCATCCCACTTTTTATTTTTTCTTTTGTTATGAGATCACTTGAGATCTATTCTCTTAGCAAATTTCAAGCRTACAATATATAATTAGCTATAGTTATCRTGCAATATCTTAGCTCTTCAAATCTTATTTTCTTATAATTGAAAATTTGTACCATTTGACCACATTTTTTTTCACTTTCTCCACCCCAGTCTGTGACAGCTACCATTCTATTCTTCATTTCTCTAAATTTGACTTTTATAATTTCACATTCAAGTGATATGAAAATTCTATTAAATATGATTTTATTGATGATTAAATAGAATTTTGAAATGCATATGCATAGGCAGGACTTCAATAATGGCATGAAGTGCTTTTTTCAATAATGAAAATCTGACCTTATTTTCTGACTTTAAATAAAATATGCAATCATTTTTGGAATAAATTTTTAAACCTGAAGTCTTAAATATACTAAATATGATTCTGAAATTTTGTTCATTAATTATTTGAATAAATTCCTGACTTGGACCTCTAAAGCAAGTTTCTAGGATGAAGCTACCATTACGTTGGTTTTATTAGMAAAATTTAAATGCCTGGTTTGATGGCCACATGAAAATCAACTTTCACCCTACTTCCTTTCTCTTCAGTTAGTCAATAAATAATAAAGGAATTGTTTGTTTCTTTTATGCCCAAACATGCCTGAAGAAGACCATTACGTTCACATGAGAGGTGTATAATTTTCAAGTTGAGGATATTTAAGAAATATACAGAATATATATTCTGATTTACTTTAAATTCATCTCCACATAATAAAATGTTGCTTAATTCTCTTATTAATAGCCTTTGGGGACATATTCTCTAATTTTGTACTAAGAATCCTTTTACTTGATCCAACAAATGCTAAAACATAAATAGTACCAATAAGTAAATATGCTATATTCTTTCCAAAGAATTGCTAGAATGTAGTTTTAATGCACTATTACAATTTATATTGCCAAACTTTAGAAGACCTCTTAGCTGGGGTGGCTGATGATCCACTCAAATTAAGATATATAATTTAAATAAATCTACGGTCATGTAATCCAGGTTMAGCACTAAAGAAATGTCAATCATTGCCATCACATCTCAATAGTATTAGAGGAAATTGAAGCATATTGTTCATACCCATTTTTTATTTAATTTRTGCCTTTTTCTATTCTCTATACTTGGAAAATTTCTAAAAGGTCCTCTCCCTGCTTCCCTTGGTTGAGTGCAATTGCCTCTTCTCTTCCCAAGTCCCCAACTTACTGCTATGTCCTCTGCTAAGTTGGAAGAGAAAGAAGTTCATCTTTATTCTGGTCATTCTCATATGATAATCTGCCATTGTCCTTCGACTTTATTGTCTTTCCACAATTCTCATCATCCAAATCTRAATAACCAGACAAGGTCAGAACCCAGTGAGCAGGCAGGAGGAAGGCTGAGAAACCCATTAATAACTTTTGATCCTTTCCTCAAAAATGTGCATGGTAGAAATAGTATAGCCAAGTCTTGAACTTGAAATACTGAATATCTTTTAAAAAGTGGAGAAGTTGCTTTAGAAATATTGAAGAGTGATAAAGTATGGAATGTGTAAATAAGAATACAAAAATCATGTGATCYATAGAGTTCAATGTATTTTATATTGTGAGATTTATGTTTCCCAACAAATTCACTTTATGTATATGTAGATGTGAATATATATATATAATTTTCTTGTTATAAAGAACACATCTGGTGGGATCTCTATATTTCAGTAATAATGGAATTACTGAGTGCCTTTTTTTAATCCACCAGAATGTTTTCAAATTSTTACACAGAATTTACAGAGTCTATCCACAATCATTGGAAGACAAAATCCAATAGTGATTTAAAGGAAAAAAGAAAGAAATGAAGGAAAGAAGGAAGAGGAAGAAAGAGGGAGAGGAGAGGGAGAGAGAAAGATCTCTTAATAAGGACTGCTAGATATCAAGTTTATGTTCATACTTAAAGATGGCTGGTACATAAAAAATACTATTGCTTTTAACTTTTTTAAAAAATATCACACTTATAGACTAGAGGTAGCACTAAAAATACTGATTGCCATCACTTTTCTATTTTTCATATTATCCTTCACCTCTACTCAATAAGTAAACAAATCAATCAATGTAAAACATGGGATCTAATCTCATGTTTGTTTGTTTTTTAGCAAGGCTCCTTGCAACAAAGAGTAAATTTAACATTTAAAGTGAAACCAATAAGTGGGAGGAGGGAATATAATTGGAAAGAAGTTAAAAAAGTATAGCTATGATATTTTATTCTAAAGCATGAACAAAATTCATATTTAAATTTTTATTCCTTTAAAGACTGTTCATCAATCTCTCAATTGCTTTCAGCCAAAGCCACCAAACTCACCTAAGTATCAGAAAATGTCCTATATAGAATTTAAAATCACGTGGTGATATTCTTATCCACCAATTGAGCCCTCAGGTACCCAATCTGTCACTCCAGTAGCTGACTACAGGTATAGTTAATTAGCAATTCTCCCTTGAAATGATCCTTAGAGGCTGGAAGAATCAACAATGCAGCCTAAAGTCACTTCTACTAACCTATTCTATAGGTGTCACTTCTTTTATTTGATACAAAGCTTTTCATAGTCACATGCCCTAGGAAAGACTAATTAAAATCACTGAAGGAAATATGATCAGCCAGATGAAGCAGAAAATAAATCTACAGGAAAAATCATTTACTAGTTCCTGCGTTTTTTTAATCAAATGCTTTTCTTAAGAGAACATATTTCACTAGAAGTTATTAAGCAAAGGTAGTGCAATTTTTCCAGCTTTATTTTCATGTATAGTTACATATTTAAATGCTCAATAAATATTTTAAACAAAATTCACATATATTAAATATGAAACAATCTAACTTTAAGGCTTTCTTTCAGAGAGTGGAGTGCACTTAGAGGAAGAACACGTATATTTACTAGGTTGAGTGACTTGCATTTAATCTTCTCAAGTTAATTATCAGAATTAATTTCYGGCTAGAAGAATCCATAGGAAAAAAAAAGTGTGGCTGAACTGAGTCTTGATACTTTTCTATAGACATACTGAGGGAAAAATATATATCCCATGTCTAAAACAACATGATGCTGGTCATGGTGGTGCACGCCTATAATCYCAGTGGTTCTGGAAGCTGAAATAGGAGGATTGCAAATTCAAGGGCAGCCTTAGCAACTTAGCAAGGGAGGCCCTAAGCAACTAGACTCTGTCTGAAATTTTAAAAACAAAAGGGGTGGGGATATAGCTCAATGATAAAGCATCCCTGGGTTAAATCTCCAGTACTCAAAATAAACAAACAAAAACATGACTACCTCCTCAAAATAGTTAATCATAGCTTAGTAAGGTTCCTCATAAAGTATTTCTTTATGGAAAGCAAAATCCAAGATATAAAATGTTGGAAATCAAATGTGTAATTATTTTTAGTAATGATGTTCAAAACTAAATTTTATATTGTACATTTATATTTTGTACACCTTCTGAAACATGAGAGTTATGGTTTTCCTGATGTTTAGGAAGAAGTATGCAAAAGGTGAATTGTTTTGAAAGAAATAGACATATATAACTATATTAATGAAAGCATATATTTTGTSTCTCTCTCTCTCTCTCTCTCTCWCWCWCWCACACACACACACACAAACACACACACACATACACACACATACACACTACATATTAACAACCCTGGAGTTTTTGTACCCCTGATACTGGGGAGAAATCTCAAAATTATCATTATCATCCAATTTTTTATTGTACATAAATTTATTTTTAAATACTATATCTTTGACTTCTAAAATCAATTTTAYTGATTTTTTTTCAAAGAAATCAAATACAACTTTCTATCTTCTTGTGTTAAGGATTTTATTCTTCATTTTTTATCTTTGAATATCTCAAACATTTATTCTAAATTCTCTTGCCRTTTGCTTTGTTGGCACCAGCCTCTCACTTGTAATTCTCCAATGTGATTTGTTCTCCTGGTAGCAACATCATGGTGTGATTTGTAGTTTCTGTGATTTAATCCTCAGAAGACCCACCTTTGAGCATTTCCACACATATTGACCCTGTCAATGTGTCCTTATGGTGCTGCTTTGTGGTTGCCTCTGCCATGGCTTTGTGGAGTTCCCAGATTCAGGTCAGTTTTCAGTCAGTTTCAAAGCTGGAGGTTATTGTATCACATAAGTGGCATAGATTCAACTGTTTTCTAAGGGGAAATGTATGTTTTCATTGCCAAATTTGCACTAAGATTTCTTCTATCCATAGATGTCTTTTATCTGGCTTTAAAAGCATGTTTTCTTAMATTTCTGTAATAGATATTATTTTATGATATATTTTATGAAATATTATTAATACTCTATTTTAGCTTTTTCACATGTATGGTTACCAGCAGAAGTTGTTTAGTTGTTGGCTTTGCTGTATTAATTATACTTTGATATGGTTTCTAATGCACATATTTATTGTTCATTCATTCARTTGCACCCCTCCAAAGCTATGAACAAATTTATTTCTGTATATTTTCTAGAATGAGTTATATATTTTATGGAATTATCAGAGCCTGGAAATCATGTCAAAAGAAAAATGCCTATAAATTCACATAGGCCTTACACAGTTTTTAAGTGAGCAATGAAGGATGAGGTAAGATTTTGAGAGCTGGGGCTATAGTTCAGTGGTAGAGCACTTGCCTCTCACTTGTGATRTACTACTGGATTCAATCTTCAGCACCACATTAAAAAATAAACAAATAGAGATATAAAAAAAGATTTTGATTATCTTCCAATTCTTATAATGTTTAAATTTTCTAATTGTGATACCAGTTTTGGAATTTACATTATTTAATAAATATATGTATTTCACTTAGCAAATTCTTATATAATGTTTACACAAATAAATTCATATATACATCTTTATATTTTATCCTATTATATATTATTATTATTTCTCTGCTATACCTKTTTGCATTGTGTATTTCTGAATTTTTTTTCTTCTTTTTCCTTGGTCTTGTTTTCTACAAATGTATCTATTTCATTGATTTTTTTTGTCAATGTGTTGGGYTTTAATGGTTATTACTGTCAATCTCTATTAATTTAAATCTAATTTTTAAGAACATGTTGCTGGTCCAGCCGGGAAGGTGGCAAGAAGAAGCCCCTGAAACAACCTAAGAAGCAGGCCAAGGAGATGGATGAGGAAGATAAGGCTTTCAAACAGAAACAAAAAGAGGAGCAGAAGAAACTTGAGGAGCTAAAAGCGAAGGCCGCGGGGAAGGGTCCCCTGGCCACAGGTGGAATTAAGAAATCTGGCAAAAAGTAAGCCRATTCTTGTGCCTGAAATGATGGTGACCATTGATTCCATTCCTATTTAAACATCTGGATCCCCGCTGTAACATCTTTTGCCACCTATAGCTAGAATGAAGTGTTATGTTGGAGTCTGTTGTAAATTTAATAAACTTTTGTAAAATAATAATAATAATAATAATAATACACACACACACACAAAGAACATGTTGCTATTTTTGTTTCATACTTGATTCTTTGTCTTTTTCTCCCGTCTTATGTTGAATTATTGTTTTCTTCATGCATTTTCATCTTTTTAGAAGTAAAGCTATACACTATTATATAGGTAATGCTTCAGTAATGTCCACAAATCTTGACATGTATCATTTGTATTAGTTTGAAATTTCCATATGAATTTTTCTTCAGTCCAAAAAGTATTTAAGAATATGATATTCAATTAGACATGTTACTTATAATTTATTTTCATTTATATTGAGTCTTTTTAATTAATACAAATTATTTTTAGAAAAGGTTCAAATTTGCATGAAGATTAAGTGGGAAGTAGAGAATTTCACATGTACCTCTCACCTCACCCCCCAAAAAACACACACACATAAACACACACGCACATATACACTGACATATAGTTTTTTACTATCATTAACATCTTCCATTACTGGAAAACATTTGTTACAATTAAACCAATATTGATATATTATTATTAACTAAACCTTTAATTTACATTAAATTTCAGTCTTTTTAATCTAAATAGTTTTTATGGATTTTGACAAATGTATAATGACATATATCTACCACTGCAGATGGTAGATATATAAAGCACAGTTTCATAGTTATTCAATTAATTCCTCCTTCACTATTTATTGAGATTTTATTTTGTGTCAGTCACTGTTTTAGGTASTAGTCACATATCAATATACAAAATCTCAAAAAAATCTACCCTAGGGGAGCTTATAGAGGGGAAGGAGAGGGGAGAGCAAGGTAAAAAACAAATGAGCATAACTTATAAGACATGAGATAGCATCAAGTGCTATAGAAAAAATTATATCAAGTAATAAGAATGAAAGTTGCAAAGCATAGAGTGCAAGTTCTCTCCGAACAGTTTGTTTTTTAATATTTAATTTTAGTTTTAGGTGAACACATATCTTTATTTTATTTTTATGTGGTTCTGAGGATCGAACCCAGTGYCTCATGCATGGTAGGTGAGCTCTCTATGGCTGAGCCATAACCCCAACCCCTCTGAACAATTTTGATTTGATTAAAGATTTAAATGCAACATTGAGGTGGGACTTCTGGTTACTTAAGGGATAGTATGCAARACCAGTAGGATATCCTACATGAAGATTTCAAGATGGTAATTTATGTCTGTGTGAATATATACTGAATGTTTGTTTTACCATTTATAACAACTCTGTAATCTTTCTGATATTATTGATGTTGAATTCTACTGTTAATATTGAAATTCCTGCCTATGTCTGGCAGTTTCTAGCTATTTACCAAAAATTCATTTTCATCTTCCTTTTTCTTATCAGAAACCAAAATGTATTTAGCACAAAAATGTTTCTGGATGGCAATAAGAACTAGAGTATAATGAAAAATGTCCCTAATTATATCAGGCCCTGACCTCTGGAAACAGCAATTATGATAGCTGGAAAAAGAGATTTGCAAAGGTGAGGGAGTTAACATTATTGGATGGGAGATTATTTTGGATTGTYAGGGTGGACCTTCAATGYATCATGTTTCCTCACAAGAACCTACTTGAGAGAAATGTGACCAACTGAAGGCAGCAATGGGAAGTCAGCAGTAGAGATTGGAGCGATGCAGCCACAAGCCATTGAATGCTACCCTTCATCATCATGTTTTAGAACCCCAAAACAATGGAGTCTCCTCCAGAGTCAACGGAGAGAGCATAGGCCTGCTGACTCCTTGATTTTGGGACTTCCAGTCTCCAGAGCTGTGAAAAATATTTTTCTATTTTTTTTTTCAAACCATACGATCTGGAGTGATGTGCAGTTGACAACCATAGAAAACACACTAACATCCTGGTAGTGAAAAGTGGCTGAGAAAACAGTCACAGAGCTTGAGCCCTAAGCAGAAATTTGCTGGTGGTTTCTGGGGAAGGTACTTTGCTAAAAAAAGATGGCTTCTTTTCCTTTTCCACTTTTTCTCCTCTTCTTTCCTGTAATCTRTAGACAGTTGGGTGAGAAACATCTGAGTGCTCAGCTTCTTGCAAGTTTTATCCTCCTTTGATGACTTTGTCTAATTTATATAGTGAGAGGAGAAGAAAGGAGGGGAGGTGCTTTAGTCTTGGTAATCAGCCTTCACTTGTTTTTATACTCCCTTCGCCCCAGCTGGTCTTGGCATGGTTTTGATATTACCCCTACTGATTGCGATTCTCAACTGCAGCTGGTGTTTGTCTACCCTCAGTGATGGGGGACTGGGAAAAAAAAATGAGCAGAAGTAATAGACTACCTGCCTACTCTCCACAGTGCAGCTCACTGTCTATCCACCCTGAGCGGGTGCTTGCCTTCTACATGAGGTCACACCTGCCCTCTTATCCTCAGGGGTTTCTCACAYTTATTTGCTATAATTACTTGATTCTATACACTTTCATTTCTTCTCTGGCATCTTTAAACTTGAGCTAGGGAGAGACCAGGCATACTGGGTTGTCATCTTGTCATGAGCCAGAAATCTCAGATACTTATTGAAACTTTTTCTTTCCAGCTGCTCTTATATTTTTCTGTGTATTTGTGAGCAGAAATAAGCTTCACCACATCTGTTCCGGCCACCTTTTGAGGTTGCAATTGAAGCTTTATACTTGTGAATTTAATTCTCATGAACCCATTTTTTTCCCTAAATCATTTACTGTTTTTACAGGTGAGAATAAAAAAATGGGAAAGTTATTTTCTAAGGCTGACATAAGTAGAAGTTGAGTGGGCCTGGTTTCAATCCCTGTCTGTTGTATCTGAAAGTACAGCAGGCCCTAGATTAGGAGAATATATATTTACACTTTCCTTCTTTAACTCAAAGCTTCTCACAGAGTCAGCTTTAGGCAAGGGGTTCACATGCACAATGGGAAGTAGAAAAAAAGATGAATGATTAGATAAGTGACAGAATCAGTTAAAACAAATTTGACAGRTATGGAGGATAAGGTGCAGCTATTCCTACATGAAATCCATTTAAGTCTTTTAATTGCTTCTAATGAAATTCTGTATTTTTGCATAGACATACAACTGAGTTTATCATTTGATCCCTCTTTGTGTTATCGAAATGTCTACTTTTCAGTTGCTAGATATGCTTGAAAAGTCTAGTTTGCTGAGTGAAAATCTTGAGTTTAATGYACATGTGTGTGTTTCAGGGGTATATTCTCAGATTGTCAGAAGCTCTCTAACAGGAAAATAATTCTTAAATTCTTAATTTTCTTTTTTTTTTTTACTGAAGGCTGCTCAGAGCATATTTTTTAGATATATAAAAGAAAATAGTATTCAAAATTGAATTCAGGAAGCTCAGAGGCTAAGGATACAAAGACTCACCTTGATGTAACTGCTCTAAAGCATTGGTGAAGGGAGGTTGTGATTAACTCCTAAACTCTGTGCTTCTGTCAGKGAATAGGCAGGAATTCACAGTAGGACAAACTTTAATGATCTTAGTTGTTTGACCATAACATTTTTAAAGATACTGTATCTTCTCATCATCTACATTACTGAATTTATAAGTATGTGTTCCAAAAAAATGCAATTTCAATTTTCCTCAATGTACCAAAAGAATAGCAGGGAGATTTTCTCTCTGAGATCACATAAATGAAAACAGAAAACAATTTGCATTAATATGTTGTTATATATCACATTGCCTTAGATAATGGGCTTTGGTGTCAAAGACACTTCAATGTAATCCTCTTCATCRCCTATAGATTGTGTGACCATGAGCAAGTTATGAAAATTATTGAACATCAGTATTGTCATATGTGAGATGAGTAGTTTCATAGCTCTCTCATTAGCAAATGGCATAATTCCTTTGTGTTAGGGTTCTCCAGAGAAATAGAACCAATAGGATATAAATCTTATGGATAGTTATAGATACATCTATCTTTAGWTTAAGCAATTTGTGTTATTCTAAGGAATTAGAATGTGTGTGATGTCTCAAGKCATCAACCTGCAAAATGGCAAAGTTTCAATGTTGCAATTCTGAGAATTTCTGCTGAGGACATTGAGGGGCCATCTGTTTCACTCTTTTTCTTTTGCTTCTGTTGATTTGCTTCAATCTTTTTGACCCTTGGCTTATAGTTCTCTGACTTTATCTCCACAGAGTATTCTCACTGTGTGTTTATCTTTGGATCCAAAGTTTCTCCTTTTGTAAGAACACCCGCCATGTTAAATTAAGTCCCATTATAGTGACCTCATCTTAACTAATTACATCTTTTTTTTTTTCCAAATAGGGTCACATTCTGATGTACTGAGGCTTAGAAATTCAAATGTGAATTTGGGGTATCCACAATTCAGCTTAATACATCCTCATAATAGCAAGTACTCAGCAGATGAGAGCTATTATTTTTCAAACAAGAGTAGATATTTAAGGAAGACTGAATATTGGATTCTCTAAGAAAGGATGGCACAAATTCTCTAAGAATAGGAGCTAAATCAAGGAAAGGATTCTTTTTCATCCCTTATTTCTTTGACATCAATAAATAAAAAGACAAGAAACAGTTCTTGTTGAAAGTGCTCCTACTTTCTCCAAGAGGATAATTCAATTTCTAAAGTCTTCAGGAGCATGACCTGAAAGATATTGATTGAAACACTTCTGAAGAGAAGGTCTGGATTTCCCCATGAAAAAAGGACCAAAGGAAAGGAAATGGGAACAACATGAATTTTGAGGAGGACTATACTCTTGTGTAAGAATTCTCGTGTTATGTTAATAACTGATTATGATTATTTCCAGGAAGTGTTACATGGTTTTCATGCACATACACACAAATAATAATAAAATGACATACAATAAAATTGGACCATATCAAATTTTGTTTAAAATTATATCCTTTTATTTTAGCTTTCATGTTTAGATTTTGGCACCAGTCTACTGGTGCAAGAACATCAAACCCTGCATGGCTTCATTCCTTCCTCTTACTGGAAAGTCCTATGCTTTGTCCAATTCTATATAAACAACTCAGCTTTA